AGAGAAAAGTAATGGAAGAGGAAGCGGATTTTGAAATGCCAATAATTCTGGGAGTGTTGGGGTTTATATAGGACCGCGTACGTCAATTCCTACCACCTCCCACCTTTTTCATTTTTTTAAGAAAATTCTCAATTTAAATTAATTTTTTTTTTTTAATTTTCAGTTAAATTTTATGTCCAACCCGTAACACAAATAAAAAAAATTAAATATCTATTTTAAAATTTATTTAAAAAATTAAGTTTTATTTTAGAGTATTTAATAAAATTAATAATTTATTAAATAAAAAAATTTCCAATGCAAAATTGATGCTAGCTTGGAGGTGAAGCTAAGATGAATTTGTTGGGAAAATTAAAAGAAGTTCTGACATTTTCAAAATTCTGGGAAGTCATTTTCATCTCTGCTGTTTCAATGGAAAGTCCTTTATATATATATAAATATTTATTTATTTTGGTCAAAAATTAATATAATAATATTTAAAAAAAAAATTGGACTTCTTCGTAAACCGCAATCGCCACTGCTTATGTCACCCTCCAAGTAAATTACCAAACCAAACTAGCTTTTTTCCCAAGTTTGTGTTTATTTTTCTTTTCCATCCCAACCATTTCCTTATATTTTCCATTCAATTTCATTTCCTCCATTAAAAATAAAAATAAAAACAATGCATACACTCAATCAAGATGAACACAAAGAACATGAGAATACAGATAATGAAAAAAAAAAGAGTACATTGTGTAAACACGGAGGTTTATATATAATTTCAATCTACTCTATTATATGTATCAAATCTTTACGAAATATGTTCCAAATATATCTAAGCATCATGCTCCATATCCAACAATCTCACACTTGGAGACTGATCCAATCAACCCCAACAGTATCGATCAACAGAAGTCTTTTTTAGCATGCACTACTTCCACTTACGTGTTTCATATCAAAAATAAGATACACATTATTAATATAAGTAGATCTTTTTCGACTATACTACTCTTAAAATCACACTTATTCGGATGGTCGTAGTTCAATTATATATATTTATAGTTTCATCCCATTATTCCATGAAATTAAAATTCATGGACACATTTATTTATCTAAGTTTATATGGGAATATTTTATAGATAGTGTCATAAAAGTCCAAAAAGTGAAACAAAAACTTAGGAAAAAGGAAAAAATGTGTATAAAGTTTGAAATAATAAAATAAATATTGGTGCTGGCATGCATGCATTTTAATATATTTGTTTATGTATTATCTGTCATACTACCTTACAATATATGTTTTTTTGGATTCTGATTCTGATTTCTAAAATACACCTTCTATCAACGTACACGTGGCGCCATCTTATCCACATGATTTATTCATACAAACAAAATTAATAAATACATTGGGTTACATTAAAATGTCCCACATTACCAATTAATACTTCTATTATCTTTTTTAAATAATAACAATACATATTTTTGGATTAAAAATTAAATAAATCAATGAATTAAGTTTACAGGAAATAATCATTTTTTTTTTTTAATAAAATGATACGAATCTCCCACCTTTCATATTTAATAACGGCTGCGTGCTTCTTGAGGATCTCTCGTTCAAATTAATGAAATGTAAAAAATAATATTATTAATCGTGTAGTTAAATATGGATAGATCTCGGTATTTTTATTATTTTTTATTTATTTTGACAACTGTATGTCATTTATTTATAATTATTTTATTACAAGAAAGTCAAACCTTTTAATTTGTAAATATTTTTCATTATTGGGCAGTCCCAACGTCATTTATTTATTATTATTATTATCATTGTACACATTATTGCCACTCATTATTCTGACATTTAAATTTTATTTTATTTCATCGACATTTGGGCTTCTTTCCCTTCACACTTTGATTTAAATGGTAAATTAAAATTAGAAAAATAAGATATAGTGGAAGAAGTTTAATTGTAAATTAATTAATTAAAAGGAGAGTGGATCGGATCTTTGATAATTAAATGCAATAAATTCTCATAATTAACTGCGTAATGTGAAATGATTGGAAGTAAAGAGGGAAAGGGGGGACTCGAAGCCGACAATTCGTTAGCAGTACAAGTAGTGTCGTTTCAGATCTGCATGCAAAATAATAATACAACTTAATTAATTATTATTATTTTTTATATTGTGTTTTAAATAAATAAATAAAAATATTTGATAAAACGTGACATGTAGGCGTGGGTACTCTGCATTGTACGAATTGGTTGACATCCACCTGGCGGAAATTTACTTGTCCACGTGATGCTGTCTATTGCAAACAATACAGCTCTTTACCACACAACCAAATCCCATGCCTGCCGCTGGGTTTTCCCTTTTTTTTCTCCTTCTGGTAGGAGCGGAAGTGATAGCCTCACCAACCCTTTCTGTCACAGACCAATTACGGCCTGTACCCGCTTGAGACGAGATTCAAAACGTTATCCATGGATTGGATAAACGCGTTTATGTCAGCACCGACGCTGTTATGTTACGTTCGTCGTGGGCGTACGCGCCTGGCCGCGTGTGGGTCGTACAGTTCAAAAGTTTGAAAGAAAACGTCAACACTATTCTATTTAACTCAGATTATAATCCTTTTTGGAAAGAAAAATATTAGAATTTAGAAGTCAACGCTTCGCCTTCAGTTCGTTGACGCTTGCCGGATCGTTTGCTTCACACTCACGAAAATATTCCACATTTATTTCTATTTTTAGGTTTTTTTTTTAAAACTAATTTTCCGTACGGTTTTTAGTTCGATTTTAATTTAGTTTCATAATTTTTAAAATATTACTGATTAAAACAATCACTTGGCTACGAGGCATTTATTTTATTTGTTCCAAATTAATTAAAAATAAATAAATAAATAAATAAAATAGTTTTCGAATGTTTGGGCACCGCGACAGACAAGTAAAAAAGTGGAATGTAAAGAATGTGAGAGAAAGGGTATGACCGTTCATTGCGATCTCCCTAAGATGAGATGGACGGTGGTGGTTGAATGACAGTCGTTATCGCACTGAAAACAGCGTACACCTGTAAACACGCTGCTGTATACAAAATTTAGTATTGGGGGTTTGATTAGGTGCACTAAAGGTGCATGGACCACAATACAACCGCGTCAATTTGATGCTCAAAGGCCACACCCAACACATTACACGACACCAAATCTCACCCTCCTCGTGCCACGCTGCTGTACCCAACATTATAAAATTATTAACCCAAATCAACCCTTTATTATCATTTACATCCATTATAAAAAAAAAAATTCAAAAGGTTACCTAATATAAAATTGTTCAAAGTAAAATTCATTTAATTTTTGAATTTTTTTTAAAGCATTTTATAATCATCTTATCATCGAGTATTATTCTCATTCGAATATGATATTAGTTTGTTCCTGCACTACTTATCTACTTGGGTTTCAAAGTCAATCTCAAGTTGACTATTCTAAACTAGTTCAAATAAGTTTGAGCGTGCACTTATTTGTGCTTAAAAGTCGAATGAAGAATTGTACGTGCCATCATAGTTTATCTTTATATAATTTTAAGAGAAAAATATTGACATAACCCAATAAATAAAACACTAATTATCATTTTAGACGCATCTTACAAATTATTGAGGTGAAATAGTAAATTTTATTTTTTATTTTTTAATGAAACCTAACTTAAATTTAACGGATGGGTAAAATTAATATAATTATTAGCTTAAATTTTTTATTAATAAATATGATATAAATGTATTTTTGGCTTTTAAAATTAAAAAAAAAAAAAAAAACTACCGTATTTAAGTATGAAAACCTAAAATAGTAATTTCCACCTTGTCTTGTTACACACCTGTCTCAAGGTCAAACGGCAAAAAAAATTTGACCAATTCTACGCCCACAAGCTAACAAGAAAATAAAAAATTATTTTAAAGATAACACAAAAGACCAAAATACCCATGTTTGGTCTTAGTCGTGTGATCGAACTTGTTGGACAAGTTCGATGTGTAAAAGTCGTTTGAAAAAAAGGAGGAAGGAACCAAAAAATTTCCTTAATATTGGTAGACGCGACCATAAGGGGAGACAAAAAGTGCATAAATTGGTAAGAAATTCTTCTACTTATAAGGTAAGGTTTTACCTAAAGTCCCACTTTTTTTCGTTTGACAAATTATAACTGAAATATTTAAAAACAAACAAAAAAGTGACATTAAAAAACTATATGGATGAAGTGAAAATAAAATTATTGAAACATCAAAATCGAGTGACGTGTTGTATATATATAAAAAGTATAAACAGGTTAGCTATTTCTCACAAGCCAACCCCAGTAATTTTAACATGCGTTGTTTTCACTCGCATGCATTATACTATATAGAATTCCTACAATTGAGCCACCTGAAAAAAAAAAAAAGGGGCAGATTGTTGGTATAGAGCATGAATTTTCAATTCTTTTAAATATCTTTTAATCATCTTATTACGATAATCATCTTATTATCAAGATCGCTTTTATTTTAGATGTAACATTCATTTATTTATTTAAGGTAAAAAAGAGGGGATTATATTTTATTATTATTATTATTATTATTTTGGGTTTAAAATGGTTGGAGGGCATGGATTTTGGTGAGATTTCACATCAAAATACTATAATTTGCAAATAAATAATGACAAATTTGTTTGGGCATTAGTGTGAAACTCCAAATTAGAAAAAATTATGTGCAGCCCAATCCGACAGAACAAGACAGTCGCCCGCAGACAGCCCACCAGACAGTTCCGTTGACTTTTCACTTCCTCTTCTGTCCTTTTTCAGCGTCACATATTCAACACACTACGACGTCGTTTTTTAATGGGCTTCTTCTGTCTAAGCTTAAAAGCCCATTACCGTTGGGCTGATTGAATTCCGGATCACTTTCAGTACAGGATAATGGGCCTAGAAGCCCATAGGCTACATGAATTAGTGGCCCAATAAGCAGCTGAAAACGAACGGCTCTCAACTTTTTCTCGACGTCACTCGATTGACTCTGGCGCTTCGTTTCAACGTGGAGTTGAACAGAATTTGGAGGGAAATCACGGGATCGTCTCTCCCTTTTTCTCTCGGTGGTTCGAATATGATTATATTTTATTCCCTTTTCAGGTAATTTAAAAATGCATTTCTGAAGCTGAAGAACATTACACATGGCGTTGATTTCGATGCGGAATGTTCTACAAAAACATACCCCAGGTCATAATCCAACAGATTATGGTGAATACCCAATGTTTGTCGTAGCGCACCGTCCTCCGACTGGTCGGCAGTTTCCCTCTTCCTATACTGGATTTGAAGGTACTGGTTGATACTTCATTGCCGATTTTCTTAATATTCATACATTATTGTCATTTTCAGTAGATTTTTTACTCGAGCTGGGAATGGCGGGGATTGGAGGTGTTATTGTGAACTGCTGCGATTTCTGTTCCTGTTGCATCGAGGTTCATGATGCTTGTTGTAATAGTAGTTTGCTGCCTTTCCCATGCCATGGAGCGGCAGATATTGGGGGTTCTCTGTTTATTTGTGGGGATTAAGGTTTTTATCGTTTTATTTCATCAGGGTTTTCTTCAGTTGTAGGAAATTCGATCTCGTTGGTTGGGTCGTTTGTTGTTCTGTATTCTACTCTCATTTGTGCTTATGGGTTAATGTTTGGTAATTAGTGGTTAGCTACTTGCTTACATATGAATTTGTTCGTTGTTTGTATCTGCTTGTTTTGGTTTAGGGTCTCTTCCTGTTATAATTCTGTGTAAGAAGCGATTGTGATCTTGATAGGAGTGTTATTAGGATAGAATTAGGGATGTTTTTGGGGTATTAAAGGTATGTTAGTAATTAGGTAATGAGTTGCTTGGGATAGAATTATTTAGATGTTTTTGACTTGGACTGAGAGTACGTTAGTAATCTTTTGTATTTCAATATCATTTTGGTTCTGTTTGGTTTGATCTTGTAATCGTTCTTTTCCATATGCAACGAGCACGACTCTGATGTACTGTCGATATCTTGCAGTCTTTATTGAATTTTGTTCTCTCTTGGTGGCATTTCATCGTAATTTTGACAGGCCGGTAAACTAAACTGCTGAGGGACGACTCGAAGGAACGGAGAGATGTTTGAGGTTGACGTTTTGGTGAATTGGAGGAGGCATGAGAAATGGTCTGCCATTGTGCTTTTGCTTGTGTCTGCCATGTTTTTTCATGTAAGAGGTACTTCTATAAACTCTTTCTAGTATCTTAAATGCTAAAATTCAATTCAAGAGCGACCTCCTTCTGTAACACTCACAGCATGCATTCTTCCTTCTGTGTTACCCAGCATTTGTTGGGATAAATATTGGGACTCATGTATCCAATCTTCCACCTGCTTCAAAGGTGGTTTCAATGCTCGAACTCTACAAAATAACTCATGTTCGACTCTACGATGCTGATGCGCAATTACTCAAAGCCTTGGCAAACAGTAGCATTGAAGTAATGGTTGGTGTTACAAATGAGGAGGTTCTAAAACTTGGAAAGTCTCCATCAGCGGCTGCAGCTTGGATTAACAAAAATGTTGCACTTTATATACCTGCAACCAATATAACAGCCATTGCTGTAGGCAGTGAGGTTCTTACGTCTTTCCCCAATGCAGGCCCGTTCTTGATCCGTGCCATGAAATACCTTCATAAAGCTCTTGTGGCAGCGAACCTAAATCTTCAAGTCAAAGTTTCAACTCCTCAGTCTATGGATGTCGTTGTTACGTCGTTTCCTCCTTCCACAGCCACATTCAATTCTTCATTGAATTCCACCATTTACCCACTCCTTCAGTTTTTGAAGAACACCAAGTCATATTATATGTTGAATGTTTATCCTTATTATGGATACATGAAAGGAAACGGGATTTTCCCACTAGATTATGCTCTTTTCCGGCCGTTGTCTATTAACCGGCGGATTGTTGACCCGAACACACTCCTCCACTATACCAACATGTTTGATGCCATGTTGGATGCAACCTATCATTCAGTAAAATCTCTCAACTTTTCTGGTATCCCCATTATGGTGACTGAATCTGGCTGGCCTTGGTCTGGTGGAGCCAATGAAACTTATGCAACCAAGAAAAATGCTGAGATATATGTGAACAATCTGCTCGGTAGGGTTTTGAATGGCTCCGGTCCACCTAGCGAGCCAACTAATCCTGTTAACGCCTACGTATATGAGTTGTTCAGTGAAGACCAGAAGCCTGGGCCTATGTCAGAGAATAACTGGGGAGTTCTTTCCACCAACGGTTCTGCTATATATCGTTTGAGTTTGATATCCAGCAGTGTCACTGGGAGTTCTTCTATTGTTTACTGTGTGGCTAAAGATGGTGCAGATCCTGGTAAGTTGCAAAGTGGTCTGAACTGGGCTTGTGGGCAGGGTGGAGCCAATTGTTCTGCTATTCAACCAGGGCAACCGTGTTTTCTTCCCGATAACGTCGTAAACCATGCTTCTTATGCTTATAATGACTACTATCAGAAAATGCAAGGCCATGGCGGAACATGTGACTTTGAAGGCACAGCAACATTAACTAATACTAATCCAAGTAAGTTCCTTTCTCCAAGTCCTTGCTTTATCTAAGGGGAAATGGGTTCCCAACTGAACCAACAGAGCTATTGGCTTGATCACTAGGTATGTTGGACCTGAATTGAACCAACTTACTCTAACATGAACCAAACTGAGCCTAAACAGTCTGAATTTCACCTTCTGGATAGTACTCTATGTTGGAGTTTCTGTGGGAAACACTCGCACTCTTTATTAACACCAATCGAAAAGAGAATACAAGACACTTTCTAGAATACTTCTACTTTTTTTTGTTTTTGAATTTCTTGAATGAAAACTAGGAAGGGTGGAGGAGTATTTATACTAGAGCCTACGCAATCGAGACGTAACAAATCTAAATCTTTTTCTTTTTAGATCTCTCCCCTAAAATATATATAGGTATCTTTCCTAAAATCTCTATAAGCTCGTACCATTATTGGGGTTGACTCTATTGGGCAAGTGATGTGATGATATTTCAACACTCTATTTAATTATCAACCATCCAAATTTCCTCAATCCTCAAGAATTTCTTTTCCAAAGAATGTATTTTCTTGTTGGGTTTATTAATAGTATCTAGGAAAAAGAATGCATTAGCGAAGAATGCATGAAGAGATGATTAGATGTGAGATCCCACGTCGGTTGGAGAGAAGAACAAAACATTCCTTATAAGGGTGTGGAAACCTCTCCCTAACAGATACGTTTTAAAGTCGTGAGGCTGACGGCAATACGTAATAGGCCAAAGTGGACAATATTTGCTAGCGGTGGGCTTGGGCTGTTACAAATAGTATCAGAGCCAGACACGAAGTGGTGTGCCAGTAAGGACGCTGGCCCTAAAGGGAGGAGAATTTTGAGGTCCCACATCGGTTGGAGAAGAGAACAAAACATTCCTTATAAGGGTGTAGAAACCTCTCCCTAACAAACACGTTTTAAAATCGTAAGATTGACAGCGATATGTTACGAGGCAAAGCGGACAATATCTACTAGCAATGAGCTTGAGCTATTACATTAGAGCACCATTAAAACACTGATGGTACTCAAGTGTCGAGTCGGAAAGTGCTTTCAGATCACCATTTGTACACTAAAGAAATGTCTTTTGCAAAAACCACCATTGTAACTTGAATGTTAGAGCCTGGAAATGCTTTCTACCACACACATAAACACATATACGAAATACAGTCGAAGAAGCGTATTCCGTATTCCTAATATGGGTGCCCTCTTGCAGGTCATGGCTCCTGTGTATACATAGGAAGGTAAGCAAAAAGAAGCTCCTGATGTTGTCTGCTATTTAGTTCTAGAAAGCTCATATACGTATCTGCACAATGGCTAATGTGTTTTCTGTGACAGCGCTAATGCAGGCGGTGGTAATACAGATGGCGGGGCGTCGGTCCCAGCGCCTTCACTGAGCCCGGGACCCTTCAGCAATTTTCCCAGTTCAAGTTCAAAACTTGAAGCCCAGCTATTTCCCTTCTTGTTGTCGTCCATGCTTTTGTCTGCTTCCTTTCTGCTTTGACTTCAACTTAATGTATCGTTTTAACGAGTTAAATTAAGTACAAAGTTTAATTTTTAATATTTATAATTACTTATTATTATTATTTATTGAATTTATTTTTGATTGGTTATTTGATGTTGTCTTAGTTTTGTATATTTTTCATTCAAATATGTTGTATATTCTTTTATTAAAATTAATTGATTTTAATTAATGTATTTAACTAAAATTAATTAAATATCTCATTATTATAAATAAATCATTTTAAATATTGATTTAAATGATTTTCAGTGGAAAAATTAACTAATTAATGTAATTAAAGATATTTATTACTTTTTCAATAACTTCAATCATCCCCAAGTTAATTGTGTTGTGCTTAAGCTATAACCTTCGATTCTCTGATACCACTTGTTGTGTCGTAAAACTAAAACTTCCAATGCTCTGAATGTCACAACCAAAATGTTCTGATACCCAATTGTTGTAGTGAAAGTGGAAGCAAGCGCATACGCCCATAAACAGTAATTAAACAAAGAGACAAAGATTTACGTGGTTCTAATAAAAGAAATTCTCCTACATCCACGTGTGGTAGCCAATCACTTTAATCAAAGTGTTTACAAGTATCTCTTGCGCTCTCACATTACAAAATCTCACAACAAAAGCTCTGTCACAATTGCCTCCAGACAAATACAAAACAAGAATGATTTCACATAACTTCACACCTAAGAACAATGCTAGACAAACCTGTATATAGGAATAAGAGTACTAATCATCATTCATAAACTAAATAAAGGAGAATATTAATAAAAATGGTTATGAAAGAGTCATACCCAAAATAAATAAGAATATTAATTAAAATGATTATAAATTAAATGAAATTTAATAACTAAAATAAATAAGAATATTAATTAAAATGGTTATAAATGGAATGAGATTTAATAACGACCATTCATATAATTACAACTCATGGAAGATAGTCAATGAAATAAAAAACTTTATATTAAATTTGACTTGAAATTAAATGTGAGATTACTCTCTTTTGAAATAAAGCTTTTAAAAAAATTACTAATTTAGTAAATTTTAGATTTATACATGGAAAATCACCTTATCAGTATTTGGTATATGTATAATAGATCATTAATTATGTACAATTTCATATACAGATTATATTTTGTTTAATTTAAATATTTTGATAAAATATTAACAAAAAAACATTTTTTTATAAAAAATAAATAAATTGAAGGAGAAAAATCCCTAATGAACAGACTCTCCATAATGATACCATATTAGCCATGTTGAGCAGTTGGCTTTGCTTTTTTGAAATCAAAATGCCAACTATTATTTTTTCCAGTTGGATTCACCTTCCGCTCAAAGAAATCATAAATTCAGTAGGATGTCACACTCACTCTAAAGGCAGGCCTAGATCATAAATTCTCACAAATGTCGAAGCGTGGCTGATCCAAAACCACAATCGCTTGCATCAGACTCGGATTTATACCCTAAACCCCAACAGAGATTTCATTTTGAGGAGAAGCACAAATGGCGAAGAACATTTGGGAACTGAGTATTGAAGATTTTGTGGAGGCAGGCTTAAACCCAGAAGCGGCTCTGGAATTCCACAACATTCTTCAGAATGCGCTGTTCATGGTCAAAACATCAGACCCTAGAGACATTTGGCGTCAGCTTATGTCTCGAACCGTGTTGAAACCCTCACATCCATATGGGTTGCATCAGCTTGTTTATTACTCTGTTTATGCTGATTGGAATTTCTCCTCCAATGGACCTCCTCCCTATTGGTTTCCTTCTCTGTAATGAATCTCTTAAACCCGATCATCAGTTTGCAGGGATTCTTAAGCCTTGTGTTCTAAATGTTTACGCTGTTTTCTACTTGTAGGGATCAATCTAAGCTAACAAACTTGGGAAGGATTATGGAGCTATATGGTCCAAAGCTGTTGGGAGCTTCATATAAAGATCCCATCTCAAGTTTCAGGCTCTTTCAGGAATTCTCCTCTCAGAACCCTGAGGTTTGGATTCAAACTCTGTGCTGCGATTTCCCCATATGTTGCATTCATTTTGGTGATTACTGTCTTGTCTTTTGATGGCTATAGATTTACTGGTCAATTGTTTTGGAAGAGCTTTGTGTTACTTTTCAAAAACCACCGAGGTGTATTCTAGATATGACTGAGAAGTCAAAGGGAAAATGGCTCCCTGACTCCATTTTGAATATTGCCCATTGTTGTTTGCTTCCTTCAAGTCGTCCATTTAGAGATGATAATAGTTTGGCAATTGTATGGAGGGATGAAGGCTGTGATGATTCAAATGTGAACCATATGACACTTAAAGAACTTCGAGAGGAAGTAATGTATGCTCTAATCTTCGTTAGTTCTTTTTGGTGATAATTAGAAGGAATGAAGAGGTTGAATGATATTTTACTCTTTTTTTATGAGATTTTGGTATACTGTTCAGGTTGGTGGCTAATGCACTTGATGCAACGTTTTCAAAGGGCGATGCTATTGCCATTGATATGCCATTGACAGTCAATGCAGTTGTTATATATTTAGCTATTGTTCTAGCAGGACTTGTCGTCGTGTCGATTGCTGACAGCTTTGCTGCCAACGAAGTTGCCGTTCGTTTGCAGATATCGAAGGCAAAGGGAATCTTTACTCAGGTAATTTAAAACAAGTAAGGGTGAGTGTAATAGCCTAAACCCACTACTAGCAGATATTGTCCTCTTTGAACTTTTCCTTTCGGGGTTTCCCTCAAAGTATTTAAAACGCGCCTGTTAGAGAGAGGTTTTTATACCCTTATAAAGAATGCTTCGTTTTCTTCTTGAACTGATGTAGCTGACACGTTTTAAAAATCTTGAGGGGAAGCTTGAAAAGGAAAGCTCAAATAGGACAATATCTGCTAGCGGTGAACTTGAGCTGTTACAGTAAGAAATCGAGCAAGAAATATACAAAATTTGACACTTACTATTATATATGCTTTCATACAAGAACAAATTTTGAACATTTGGCTTTCTTTTTGTGTTCTTCAATGTTTAATTCTTATTTCATGTTTGAAGCAGGATTTCATACTGAGAGGAGGCAGGAAGTATCCTTTATATAGGTGAAGTAAACAATGAACAACTCTACGAGTCATAACTTACAGTGACGAAAGCAAGTGTAGATGGAATGACATTAATAGTTCATTCTCTGGTTTTTCAAGGCTTGCTATCACAGCTCGATTAATCTGTCAACTTAGAATTTAAGTCACTCTTAGTAGGTTTCTTGGAAGTTTTAGTGCCTATGTTACCATTTGACACATGGATTTAGCTGTTTAAGAATTCGTATCTGCACGACACTTTCTCATGGAAGTTTTTTCGGTTCGCAGTCGAGTTATAGAACGTGGATCATGTAAGGCTATTGTGATCCCCGCAACTGGAAACAGATTGGAAGTGAATTTGCGAAAACAGGACCTATCATGGGAAGAATTTCTTTCCACTGCAAAGGATCTTCCAAGGTACTGCAATGACAATGGTTACTTGTAGATTTCTTAACACTCTTAAATTCTGCAGCTGTTAAGGTTGTCTTCCAAAGATTACGGACAGTGCCGGTTATGTTTTATTTTGTAGATCAAATTATTACTCTCCAGTGTTTCATTCAATAGATGCCATGACTAACATTCTCTTCTCATCTGGAACCACAAGTAAAAAGCAACTCTAAGCACTACTTGTTTATACAATATGTTGGCATTGGTACTTACTATTTGTTTATAAACGTTTGGCCCAAATCAGGAGAGCCAAAGGCAATCCCATGGACACAACTTTCCCCCATTCGATGCACGGCTGATTCCTGGGCTCATATGGATGTTCAGGCTGCTGACATTGTCTGTTGGCCTACAAATTTAGGATGGGTGATGGGGCCAATTTCATTGTACTCATGCCTGTTAGCTGGTGCAACTCTTGCACTCTATCATGGATCTCCACTCGGCTCTGGATTTGGAAAGTTCGTCCAGGTGAAATCTTTGTTCATGTTTATAAAGTCGGTTACGGAACCCCGACCATCAGACTTGCTCTCCAGGATAACTCGTTTCGGTTTTTATACATTTTCTTGCTGTGCATTTGTTTTAGGATGCAGGAGTGACCATTTTGGGAACAGTTCCAAGCCTGGTAAAAACATGGAAGGATACAAAGTGCATGGAAAACTTAGATTGGACAAAGATAAGGTAATAATTGGCATGTACTTATTGAGTTACCACATGAGTATCAGTTAATGGACATGGAAGCTGATATCTGCAGGTATTTTTGCACGACGGGGGAAACTTCGAATGTCGATGATGACCTCTGGCTTTCTTCGAGGTCGTATTACAAACCGGTAATTGAATGTTGCGGTGGCACGGAACTTGCTTCATGCTACATCATGGGAAGTCCATTACAACCACAAGCTTTTGGAACTTTTAGCACACCATCTATGGCCACAGGATTTGTGATCCTTGATGAATATGGAATACCTTACGTAAGAGCAAGAAATATGCACATTTTTAAGTTGTTCGTGAATTTATCGACGAAGAAATCGAGTATCTTATATTTTCTTTCTTGTTATTAACAGCCAGAGGATCAGGCTTGCGTTGGTGAAATAGGATTATTCCCTTTGTATCTGGGAGCAAGTGATAGATTACTAAACGCTGATCATCATGAAGTTTACTTCAAGGGAATGCCAATTTACAAGGGAATGGTATGGTCAAGCTCAAACTCAAGCACACCTTTCTTGTAATTTATAGATTTCTTCCATTCTCAAGCCATCTTTTACCTGATTCGCTTCGTTGCAGCAACTGAGGAGACATGGAGACATCCTTAAAAGAACTGTTGGAGGCTATTTTGTTGTTCAAGGTAGGGCTGATGACACCATGAATCTCGGCGGCATCAAGGTACTGACGTTTCTCCAGTAATAGTCGATAGCATCTGCATCTCAATAAAACTTGAATTTAGTGTTATGTAACAGCTCAAACCCACCGCTAGGCTTTGCCCTTTTGGGCTTCCCCTCAAAGCTAGAGGTTTCTAC